ATGGCTATTCTTGTCAACTTGAGAACATCTGTAATCTACTAAAACCCAAAAATGGAGTGGCATACTTACGAGGGCTTTTGAAGTGGAAATGTCCACTTCTAATGGAGATCCTTGAGGTAGAAGACAAACCTTTTAATCCAGATCCTGAGACTGGAAAATATACCTTTAGTTCAGATTTTTTGAGCTGGGAAAACCCACCTCTAATCTGGGCCCCACCTTCTGCTAGAGGCCTATCAAATGACATGGAAGGAGGCTTTTGCTCTTAGCCTTTTTGCGCTCACCTCCAGAGCAGCCTTTTACTAGCGTAAGAGCCCACTTCTTTGGATTCCAGTGTATACTGAAAACCAGCTGAAGAGATCCCGGATCACGGACTTCTGGATGTCTAGACTTTCTGCTCATGGCCAACCATTGTTGGATTAGCTGGACCACAGCCTGTAAATCATTCTAATAATCCCACTTTTATATATATAAAGAATGTTTAATTCTGTAAGTTCTGTTTCTTACCTTTTTAAAGGGCTTTCTGCCAACATATTGACACTCAATTATGGATCACTAGTACAAATCAAGGTGATCAGTGTCTCTTATATAAGCCAAACATTTTATCTGTTTTTTTTGAGATATAGCTCGTTACTTTAGAAAAGTTTAACAACATGCATTTTCAATGTCATTAGTTTCTCTGAATGTAGGTAACACATTCCTTCCAAACATAATGTAATTATATAAGTCTTTAAGTTTTTCTCTAAGTGCCAGCTTGTATGGTACTCACAGCTCCTGCTTTGCACCTTTCAACTGAAACAGCATCAGAAGATGAAGGTTATCATCCTGATCTGGTATTCATGAGGCTGAAATAACCTTTCTGGGAAACACATTCTGACATCCATCCCACTTTTCTCATAGCATAAACACTGCTATAAATAGGCTACCAAAGTATCTTAAATCATTAGCTTGTGGTCCAGAGGTTAGTAGTCTGCCAGTAAGACGACTATACATACTTTAAGTTAAGCACATGGGGATGTTACTGTATCTTGGCATTTGGGAGGTTAGGCAGGATGACTGCCAAGTTTGGGTCCAGTATGAGCTACATGGCAAGACCCTCTCTCAAGAAAGCACACCAAATCAAACGTCAAGACTATGCAAATGTTCAGACAAAACACATTCACCTTGTTGCCTTAGGTTGTCCATTAAAATGGCTTCTCACATTTATAAACTATGAGTCAGCACTATTCTACATAAGTATTAATGTTGACTCTTTTTGAAGCTTTTTCTTTTTCTTTTGTGTTTGTGTGCCATGGTGCAGATGTGGAGAAAAACTTGCCTCAAACAAAAATCAGCTCAAAATCAACCACAGGTTAAGACCTGGATCTTTGAAAGGATTGCAGGAAAATGCAAATACAATATAAGACAGACAATAATTTTCTGAATAGGTTTCTAGTAGATTAAGAAATGATGGTGAGAACTGACAAATGGGATTGCTTAAATTAAAAAAAAAAAACAACCAACTTCTGCATAGCAAAGAAAACAATCATCAAGGTCAAGAGAATCTGCAGAATGGAAGAAAACCTTTGTCAGTAACTAATCTGTTTGGGCTGTTATCCAAAATACATAAAGAAACAAACATACATTAAAACAACAAATAATACATGGGCAAATGAAGTGAATAGAAACTTTTCAAACAGAGACTAACCACTTAAGGGGCTGAAGAGATGCTCAGCAGTTAAAAGCACATATCTGTTCTGACAGAGGACCTGGGTTCCATCACTAGTATCCACAAGGTGGTTCACAACCATCTGTAACTCCATTCTCAGAAGACCTGATGCCCTCTTCTGGCCTCTGTAAGCACTGCGTGCATGCGGTACACACATATAAATAAAAAATAAAATGCTCAATATATATAGCTCTCTCTATATATACATATATATAAATAAATACATAAAACATGTTCAACATCTTTAGCCATTAGGGAAATAAAAATTTACCCAAACAGTAAATGGGTATCAAAGAAAACCAGAAGAAACAAATGTTGGTGAGGGTTGGGGAGGGGAGGAAAATTTATATATTACTGCTTGCAAGGAGTGTGAAACAGTCCACACACTATGAAAAACAGTATAGAGCTTCCTCAAAAAATTAAAAACAGAACTCCCTTTGATCCAGCTACACCACTTCTGGGACTATTCCTAGAAGTATCAGTCATATACAGATGCCTGCATATCCATTTTTACCGTGGCACCATTCACTAGCCCACACAGACTAGGTGTCCAATAACAGATGGATGAGTAAAGAAAATGTGGCACAGTCACGCATGGAATACTAGTCAACCATAAATAAGAACAAAGTTATAGAATTTATAGGAAAACAGATGAAACGGGAACTTATGTTAAATGAAAACCAGTCTCAAAGATAAGCATCCCATAGTTTCTCTCATATGTGGAATGTAGGGGACATAAGAGAGGAACTATTAGGGAGACGGAAGCAGAACTGGAACAAGAAACCATGATAGAAGGGATGAGTATGGTGAATGTACATTATGCAGAAATGAAAATGTCACAAGAAAACTCATTAGCTTTACAGCTAACAAACAAAACAGAAAATAGAAGGACCATATACGCCTGTGTATAATCTAACTTTGGAACTAAGAGATTGCTGCTGCATTGATAAAATATGGCAACTACACTATGCAGGGGAAAAAAAGCGCAGATGCTGAAGCAGTGCATCAAAGTAACAGGCCAAATCAAATAATTGTTCCAGATTTCACTAAAGTGAGTCTTCAGCAAATCTTTTTCTTTGCTGAGACAGTCTCAGTAACTCAGGCTGCCTTTGAACTTGCAATTCTCCTGTCTCTGCCTCCCAAGTGCTTGGATTACAAGCATGTTCCACCATGCCAGGACGCCCCAGTAAAATTTCCTAACTATATACAATACAAACTATAAAATACAGACAAAACTATTGAAGTCTGTAGTACAATTTAAAAGCTCTTTCAATTCCAATTCTCTAGTATTACTAGGCATTATTAACCTATACTTTCATCAATCTGAAGTTTGATTGGGGTGGGGTGGGTAAAAACTCTCTCAGAAGTTGTTATATAAAGTGAGGGTTTCAGGACCAGATGTATCAAGCAAGGACGGACCCCTGCCAGGGTATTGTTGAGGGTAAAGTTTTTATTGTAGATACCAGGAAGAGTACAGTCAGAAGCACCTGGAAGAGTCCTCAGCGAGAGAAAGTAGATCAAACATGGCCAGCAGTTTGGACCCGGCCATGAGAAGAGAGAGGGGCAACAGAGAAAAAGAGGGGGTGGGGGAGAGTGAGCTCCAAGACAGTGCTTGGCCAGAATGGCAAGGTTGTATAGGAACGAGAAGCCGGGGAGGGAAGTCCGAGAGCTTTAGAAGTTTAGGGGAAATGGTGGGATGAAAAGAGCTGAGAGCCACAGGTAACTGTGGTACTGGAAACCTCCAGGAGACCAGTCTGCCGTTGATATGCTAATAGGCAGCTCATTTAGCCATTAGTGTTTCTTTTGTCCCAGACAGTTGTTTAAAAAAAAAAAAAAAAAAAAATCCCACCGCTTCAGCACCATATTTAGAGACATCCGAGAAAGGTTAAGCTTCAGTTACACTTCCCCACCCCAATACCAGAAAATGAAAGCATTCTGAAACACACCCAGAGGTACAGAAACTTATATTTTAACAACAAAGACATCGACTTAGAAATGCCCTTAGTGGTGAGTATACCTACAACCTTGTTTGTAAAGCCACAAGGAGCGGGAGTCTCTGAAAGACCACAATTAAGACGGTCACTAAATAACACTTAGACTATGATCACTACAGTGTTAGTCACAGCTGTTAATGTGCAACACACCGGACACATTGCTACACACACTTTATTCAGAATGGAGTACTGTGAAAACATTTTTCGAAGAGGCCAACATAATAACGTTTTATTGATCCAGGAACTCTGGCACTGAAAGCGTGAACTACCCAAGGTAACGATGTCGTCACCAAGGGACGACCATAGATCCCAAATCCCTTGACTCTCAGGCTGATGTTTTCCACTAACTGCTTCTTTCCACTCATCTGAGAGCTTCAAGTGTAAAGGGCTGGAGAAGGCAGACGACCTATTATGAGCCAAATCTGCGACGTGGGGATGCTCTGAAGGTCCTCAGCAACCGCCGCTGACTCTTTTGTTTTGGCTGAGCAAGATGAAAGCGGCTACCACAGACCCCAGGGACCAAGAACTGGATCTAGGTATAGCCTGTTGTGGTTAACTCTCTTTTCCGTAGTCGGGGCCTGCCCTTTCTCGCCTCTTCCTTCCGGCCAAGCCCTAACGCTCTCACCCCTGACCCTCCACCCTTCGATCCCCATCCTTCGTCCTTCACCCCCACTGCACACCATTGCTCGGCGTCCCCGATGGACCAGGGCCTCCCGGTACTCCCTCCAGCTTTAGCAGGGATTCGCGACGCCTGGCGTTGTTCACGAGAGCGAGGGGGAATCAGCATTGTTCACGCGTTACAGCTGAGAAACTTCGGTGGGAGCCAGGGCAAACGTGCGTGCCGACTGGGTGTTGGGGACAAAGCGGTATTAGACAATGAGGACCTTGCCTCCCCTCCGGCGGCTAACTCAGCTTCCCCTGGGCACCTATGCAGCGCGCGTGTTTACACTTCTCTACACCCGGCGGCGGATCCGGGGGGCATTCCAAACCGTTACTCCGCCCGCTGGGGTGGGACCTGCCCAACGGCTGAGACTGCGCTGTGGGCCGGCCGACATCAGCGGACTACAAATCCCAGAAGGCCTCGCGCCGCAGGGGCGGGCAGCGGCTTACCTGCCCGCCGCGCTGCTCTCTGGTTCCTATTGGTTCCCCACTGCAATAAGTGTCCTTCCTACAGCTGAGGGCTGCCTCTGGGGAGCATTAGTAGACTCGATACCAAAGCCCTCGTGTCCCTGCTCTTCCTGCCTCAGTCCTGGCTATGCCTGACTCCCTCACCGGTGTCGGGTGGTGGCGGCGGCGAGGGAGGGAAACCCATACGAGCAGTCCCGGCGCACTTCCGCCTCTGCGCTCCGGAAGGTAGGGCGCACGCGCTCCCTGCGACTCCGGCGCGACTCACTTCCGTTCCCACTGTGCCCTGCGAGCCGAATCATGGATCACACTGGTAAGGAGGCGGAGGCAGCGGGGGTCCTGGTTTCTTGCCCCCTTGGCTCGTTTGGGACTGGTTGCCCAGCGGGCACGAGGGGCTACGCTCGCCCCGCTGCGCCGGAACGTGGCGGAGAGGAAGCAAGCTCACAGACCCGGTCCCGGGCTGGGCCTGCTGCTCCCCGGCCTACCCTTCGGAGCGATGCCTCCATCCTCGAGACCGGCAGCACCGCTTCAGTGGTGCTGCTGAGCTCGCCTTCGGGACTCTGCGCCGCGCGGGCTTGTTGGAAGGGGAGGGTGCTGGTTGTGTTTTGTTTTGTCATTTTTCCTCATTCCGGTTGCTCTTCACTTTGTGCTGGGGAAATAGGCGGGTGGATTCCACTCTCGGGATTGGAGAAGCGTCCGGGCGAGAGTGGGTTGGAGACTTCCTGCTGCCTCGCAGCTTCGGGCGGCTGCTGCAGTGGTCACCTCCGGTGGTTAACCTCCTGTGGTTATTGTCTGTTTGACTTTTCACGGGCTAGAGGTTAGAGAAGAGAGCCGGATATAGTTTTGGAAGTTAAAAGCGGAGCATCTTTTCTATCTAAACCCAAAGCATGCCCCGCCCTTCGGCCGTGGTCCTTTCACATCGTTTGGGGACATATACAAAAATTTTAAGATCAAGCTATTTTCATCGCATTTTACAAGTAAGAGTCGCTTCAAACCTTTCTGCTGGCTTCGTTTTCTTGTTCTTAGTTAATGAATGAGTGAGTGCACTTGTCTTTGAGTGCTTCAGACAATTATATCAACAAGCAGGAGGAAAGGCTTTTTGTTTTTTAAACTGACCGAGTTTTCAAGCACTACTTAATTATATAATTGCGTGCAGATACTTGTAGGCTTGGAGATAGAACGACGGAATGGTAAACAATAGTACTGCGTCCTTGTCCTCGAGTTTACATTCTGTCTAAGGAGGCAGGCAGGTTGGTTTCTTTTTTAAAAACTGCTTTCAGATTGTGGTGAGTACTTTAAGAAAACAGGTGCTTATGGAGTAGGAAGTTTCAGAGAGTACCAGGGAAAGGTGTTTTTGGAATGGTAGGAAGATACAGAGAAGGCCATATGTCTGTAGCCTAGTTAGCCCTAAGTTGAGATGAGAAGGAAATCATAAGTTACCTTGTTCAGGACTTTGAAAATCATGGTAAAGGGTTTAAGTGGCAATGAAGCAACTGAACAAAAGTAGGAGTATAATGTTTTAAGAAATAATTCCAGCTCTTCTATGGAGAGTGGTGCAGGAGAGGAAGAACAGAAGTAAATGGATAATCTAGGTGGTGGTTGCAGTATCCCACCCAGAGGGAGCCTCTGTTTGGTGAAAGTGTAGCTTAGTGGTAGCCTACTTACCTAGCTAGAGTGGGTCCTTAGTTCAGTCTGTTGTAGGGGGTGGGGAATGGAGCACATACAGCAAGCAATTGCAATAAATATTTTGGTGGAGAATTCCAACAGCTGCTAATGGATTGTTTTGTGGAAGCATGTGAGAGAAATGAGAAAACCCAGAGTTTCCCATTAGACCATCTTGCTACTACATGTGTGAAAGGATTATCCCAGTTTCTAAGTTATTAGTAAAAGATTGCCTGGGGAAATAAGTCATTCTAACAATTAAAAAAAAAAAAAATCACTGATGAGTTAGCAAGATAAAAAATGGGTTTCCAGACAGCTATCCTTATTTATTTCACATTAGCTTTTCTGGATTTTAAATCAGTTACGAGGCAGTCTCCTAAAGCTTCAGTGTTAATTGCTGCACTTTTTGAGGGGAAAGAAATCAAACTAAGCCAAAGACTCAAACTTTCACAAAACTAATAAACACAAATTTGAAAACTATTTGAAGCACAGAGCCTTTTGCAAAACAAGAAATGACAGCTAGTTAACAATTTCCTCACTGAATAGGCTTCTCAAAATAACGATTTTAATGTCAAAGGATCAAGAGGTCTTGTAAATGCAAGTATTGAAATAGACTTTTGCCAGAAAAAAAAATTCCAGAAAACTTAAAAAAAAAAAAAAAAGGCAAACACATAATGCTTTATTTGCTGTTTCTTTGCACTGCAGAAATGTCAGCAGCGGAGGGCACAGAGGGAATTGGGCAAACCTAAGGCCCTCTGGGATAGAGAGAAGCAGCAAAAAGGTGATCTCCCTGCAGCTGCTCCAAGGCCAGCCCTGTCCCTATGCTCCCAGGGCACAGAGGCAGCCAGGGCAATAAAGTCCCTACAAACACTTATTCATGCTTTGGTCACTGTAAGAGTTAGTGCTTAGGTAAAAGTAACCCAAATACTGCTTCATTCTTATTTGGGAGGTGGATGCTGGGGACCTGAATCCAGGATCCACCTTACAGATTTCCCCACTGAGCTACATAGCTGCCTTCAGTTCCTCAACTCCTTTATTCAAGATAAAATACTAAGTGTGTTGTTTTTGAAACTATTTAATAAAGTGTTACTACTTTATTATATATTTTAAAAGGTGTAGTTACATTAAATGGCCAGTTCTTTTTCCCTTATGTAATATCCAGATATTTCTTATTACATGCTTTGCCTTTTGTTACTGTGTGTGCGCGCAGCAAATTGTATGCTACTTTTTTATTCTTAATTTTAAAAACGCTCAAAACAAACCTCAGATTGTTGTGACTTGAAATCTGCGAGACAAATCGTAGGTTTAGAAGCAGCAGGCTCCTTGAAAGTGCTAGGCTTCGGTTCAAAAACTGGAGACCTGGGCTGTGCGCGGTGGCGGTGATTGAAAGGTTGTGCAGATAAAGTGTGTTGTTTTCATTCACAGAGGTAACACACTACGAATCTTTGTTATATCCTAATTAAGGGCAACAGTTTGGTTATTTCAGTTCTTTGGAAAGTCGGGAATACTTTTTGTGCAAGGGGAAAAAAGGTATCTGTCATATCTCTATGGTAGGTACTTCTATATAGACGAGAGAATGCAATGAAGACTGCTGGAATACATGAACAGACATTCCATTTTAGTGCAGTCTTGAAGATTAGTCAAGTTGCTTTGATTATAATTCAAGATTGTAGCTATTCATGTAATCCTTTTTTGTGAAAAATTTTGAGAAGAGTTAGCTGTTTTAAGAGTAGAAAGTAGATAGGAAGATGTTTAACCATTGAGACCCATTTTGAATTTTATGTTCATAAAAAGGGCAAATGGGTATGAATTTAATTTTTTGGGAAATTGCTTAGTCTTGGAAGTCGGTGCTAGCAGACTATCACATTTGGCTTTACTGAAGTTAATGTGGTCACCTCGGCTGTCAGTCTTGATTGTAATTCTTGCAGGAACTCTGTTCATTAATTTGTTGTGTTTCAGACATAATTTTATGGTTATGTTTGCATTTCCCATTTTAAGCATTTTCCTTTTTTTCCCTCTTATATTGTTACATATTTTTATGTACTCGAAAAAGTAAAGTTTTATATAAGTCAGCCCTGTGAAATAATGTGAACTAATCATGGACAAGAATTTTTTTTTCCATAGATGATAAGATTTTTAAGGACTAGAAAACTTCAGTTGTTGAGACCTAAGTGTAAATTATAGTTTTCTATTATGATGTTGGCTGTTAACTAAAGGTCTCTGTTACTTATGTCTCTAGAGTTTTTTATTTTTAAAAGGTTTATGTTTCTGTAAGCTACTGTGAAATTGTATAGAAATTTTTATTGTCCATTTTTAGACAGAGATAAAGGTTCTGTAACTTTTTGTCAACTTTGAACATGGTTCCATGTCTTAAGAGTAACCAGAAGCATTTTTTTTTTTAAGGTTTACCTCAAATAAAAAATATTAGCAGTTATACTTATCAGTCCAGTATTTAAAATCAGAACCAAGATCTTTCCTTTATGGTTTGATGTTGTTGATTTATCTTGATACTTATATAGAAGAGTTTATAAAAAGAAAAGTAAAAGCAATTACGATTTCTTTTCCCTCATTCATACAGACAATGAGTTACAAGGCACTAACAGTTCTGGATCCTTGGGTGGTCTTGATGTTCGCAGAAGAATTCCTATAAAACTGATCTCCAAACAAGCCAACAAAGTTAAACCTGCACCTCGAATTCAAAGGACTATTAGCAGGATGCCTGCAAAGGCCCCACCAGGTGATGAAGGTAACTTGTTAAACTAAGATGTTTAAGAGTTGTTTTGTTGAACTGGAGAGATGGCTCAGAGGTTAGAGCACTGACTTATCTTCCAGAGGAGCTGGGTTTAGTTCTCACAACTGTTACTCTAAGATCTGACACCCTCGAATGACATACATGCAGGCAAAACACCAATGCACATGAATATAAACAAATTCAAAAACAGCTGTTTATCTGAGTGCACCAGATAATATTTGATTTACTTAAACCTACCTTAAAATGTTAACCTTACAGTCTATTTTCTAATTTTTTTCTTCCTTTGTAAGTCCCCTTCCCCCCTTTCAAAGAATCTAATCAATATTGCACAAAGCATTACATTAAAAATAAAATGTGTTTTCACGATCCTCTTAAAGCTGTTGTTACTGTCTCAAGATTTTTTTTTTCAAGTAAGCTGGGTGGTGGTGCTTGCATGCCTTTAATCCCAGTACTTGGGAGGCAGAGGCAGGTGGCTGTCTGAGTTCAAGGCCAGCATTGGTCTACAGAGCAAGTTGGAGGACAGCCAAGGTTATATAGAAAAGTCTTGTCTAGAAAAATAAATTAAAAAATAAAAGGTTTAGCCAGGTGTGGTGGCATGGCTGAAATGCCAGCACTTAGGGAGCTGAGACAAGATGACTATTGTTTAAGGCCAGACCCTGTCTCAAACAGATGGATAGTCTTAGGTGTTTGTTCTATAGATATACTATAATTTACTTAACTTTTTTTTTTAGTTATTTCTTTTGCTGTAATTGTGTTGTAGTATGAACATTAGAAACTTGACTTGGAGGATGGCAAGATTGTTTTAAGTGGGTGAGGGCAATTGCCACATGAGCCTGGTGACCCCAAGTTTCATCCCTAGAACCCATGTACAAGAGGAAGGAGAGAACAGACTTCCAGAAGTTTTTTTCTGGAACCCCCACAGGCTACCGTGGCACATGTGCAAGCCCCTCCCCCTCCACGTCATGTACACAACAAATCAGTGACTTTTTAAAAAAGATTTGATTTATACATTTCAGAATTTATCAGATCCCGCTAAATTACTCTTCAGAAAGGGCTTGTTAGTTTATGCTCACGTACATCAATATTTTGTATTATTAACTTAAAAAATATTTTTTGAGGCAGGGTCTCTAACCCAGTCCTTGAACTTCAGCAGTCTTGCTGCCTCAGCTTTCTAGGCCTTGTGATCACAGGCAGAGAGCACTGTGCCACAGGGACAGAAACTTATATGTGGTTGGTTACCTTTTCATAGTATTAGCCATTTCTTTTCTCAGTTGCATTATCTGTTTTTGATGGTTGTCTTTCTCTTAATTTTGAGTTTTTTATAAAATTTGCTTTGTTAAATGCCTGTGTAGTTCATTTATCTTTTGGATTTTATATATAAAATATTATTGTAAAGAAGTTGAACATTTTAGGCAGTCAGTTAAGTAGAGCTTGCTCTTTCAAGTTTTAACGTAGTCTGAAAAAGCCTTTTCTGATTTCATAACTATAAAAACCTTTTCCTGTCTTCCCATTTGTTAGAAGTCAGCAAGCTGGCCTCAGGCCAAATTTGGTTCCTTTAAAAAAAGTAAAGTTACTTTTATTTGAGAATTATCTATAGCTGTTTCCCCACTATTATGGCAAAACTGACTAGATTTATATGACCTAGAAAGCTTAAAATTTCTACTGTGTGGCCTTTTGTAGCAACAATTTGTTGTGGCTCATGCTTTAGAACATTTATGGTTTTTATGGTTATTATTTTTTTTTAAGTGAGGTCTTTTAAAAATTTTCCCCCTAAACAGTTCACCAGCAACCCAAATATTGGGTAATTTGTCTTTTCCTTCCAGAATGGAAATCTTGCTCTTAAGGTACTTTTAAGCTCTAGAAGGATCTGTCTCACTCCTAAATTCTGTTCTGGTAATCTGTAGGTGGTTAAGAATAAATGATGATGATACATAGCTTTAGAACTTGTTCAGTAAACATGATGGTAATTGGTGAGGTTTTGTCCTAGAGATGGTCTGTGGAGTTTGGAAGAGTGTTGTTAAGAGACTCCGTTATAGGTCTGTTCTTGGTTCTGCCACTCAGCTTAGATGGTGGCTGCTGTAGCCACTGAATGTTGAGAAGTACAAGAATGGACTGAATAATAATGATCACTTCCAGGTGGCATTTAAACTCCACTTTAAAAGTGACAAATGTGCATTGTCTTTAAGTCTTTGGGAAAATGATAAGTATAATTAAGGCCTGGTTTTGTAGAGGTATATAGTTTATAATTTTTATAACATTTTATAACATAATATGTACAAAAAGTTAAAGGAAGTTTTATAATACCATGAATTTAACATAGTTATTCTTTTACTGTTTTAGAATAGCTTCATGAGTGTTGATATTCATGTTCTTAGAGCTTTGAAAGTCATCAGAAACATTTTTCAATAAATAGGCCTATTTGTCATGTAAATATACTTTAAAAATGAAATTAGAAGTTGGAAAATGTAATATACCTTTTTTTCTCAGAAGGATTTGATTATAATGAAGAACAGCGGTATGACTGTAAAGGGGGCGAGCTCTTTGGGAATCAGCGAAGGTTTCCTGGACACCTTTTTTGGGATTTTAAGGTATAACTAAAAATGAAAAATTAAGCATTAAGTATTTTATGAATTTTTAGTATATCTGTAACTTGTAGCACACACAATTCCACTTGCTTGTTTCTACTATCTTCAAAAATAATTTGAAGTAATTTTTATTAAAGCTAAGTAAAATCAGTAACCACTGTTAAAGAAGGAAAACAAACAAATGGAATTATACTAATCAACTTTTATTTCTGATTGTAGTAGCAGCTGTTATGAAATTCTAGCTATTTCACTGTGTGAATTGATAAGTACAATTTTCAGAATTGCCTAAAGAGGAAATTTTAATTATCATTTCAACAGATAAACATCTTGGGCGAAAAGGATGACACACCAGTTCATTTCTGTGACAAATGTGGGTTGCCTATTAAAGTTTATGGGAGAATGGTAAGTACAGTTAAGGCCTAGTTTTGTAGATGAAGGCATTTATGTAGAGGTAAGATTCTGAAATACAGTTTTTATGATTTTTTTATAACTGATTTTATAACATAATATATACAAAAAAGCTAAGGGAAGTTTTATAGCACCATGAATTTAATACAGTTAGTCTTTTATTGATTTAGAATAGTTTCAGGAGAAACACAGTAAGATAAAATAAGTTTAGTGTTCTTTTTCAGAAGCTTTTAAGTTGCAGAGACTATTTCAACATCTTTAGGTTCACATATCTGAAAAGAGAAGCAGGAGCCAGGCAAAGGGTGTATAGTCCTGTAATCCTAGCACTCTGAAGGTTGAGGCAGGAGGATTATAAGATCGAGGCCTGCCTCAGGCACATCAGAGTTTAAGGCAGCCTGAGCTGCACATGAGATCCTGTCTCCAAAAATAAAAAGCAGAGCATTAGCAGATGTGCATGTGTTTATTTATTGGGAAAAGAGCCAAAATTTTCAAAACATTTTCAAAAACTTGTCATTAAAAATTACTTCTGGGTGATGGTGTGTGTCTTTAATCCTAGCACTTGGGAGATAGCGGTAGGTGGATCTCTGTGAGTTTGAGATACGTTTGGTCTACAAAGAGAGTTTAGGACAGCCAGGGCTATGTTATACAGAGAAATCCTGTTTTGAAAATCTAGATACGTAGGTCAGTAGATAAATAGCGAGCGAGAGAGAGATAGACAATTATTAGCTGCTAATGGCATAGAATCTTAATAAGTCTTTATTTAAATAATTCCTGTGTGCCTTCTACAGTGTCTGTAGATCACTGTACTGACTGCTATTGAAATATACTAAGTTGTTGTTCTGTTACTTAACTATGATATTTTTGCCTACAGATTCCGTGCAAGCATGTTTTTTGCTATGACTGTGCTATTTTACACGAAAAAAAAGGAGATAAGATGTGCCCAGGGTAAGATATAGTCATCTTTAGATTATCTGATAGTAGTGGCTTATAAGCAAGCTGGGTTTAAAGGTTATGGAAATAGACAAGGCTAAGCCACTCTCTGTGAACCTAGGGTTGGTTTTAGCCTTCTCTGCAAGCATCATCCAAAAGAAAAGACTTTATCCTATTTAACATGGAGGTGTTTCTGAGTGTCTAATGAATTAGATGGCAGAAAAACAAGACGTGTGCAAAAGGGTCGTAAATTAGAAGCACACTGGCTGCTACAGTGAGGATGGGAAAAGAAACTGCTGAAGTCTTGACTTCTGTGGTTGTAAATGACCGATCCTTTGCTTTATCATTCCTGGCTGCAAACTGTAGAATGGTTAGAGAAAATTAATGAGCTCTAAATATTGAGAAATAGAAGGTCTCTTAAGACATTCTATTTGGGTACAATTCAGTTCTGAGATAAACTTTTCTCAGGTTGGTAGAGATGTTGATGATTAATGTCTGAGGCAGGTAGGGAAGATGAAAGGTTCACTAATTAAATATTCATTGTTAACCTTGCAAGTATCTTAGGTCGTATTTGAAAGTAAATAAAAGTGTTGTTTTATGTTATGGCTTAGCTAATTGTTTTCTTCTGTTTAGCTGTAGTGATCCTGTGCAGAGGATTGAGCAGTGCACACGAGGTTCTCTCTTCATGTGTAGCATTGTTCAAGGTTGCAAGAGAACATACCTGTCTCAGAGAGACTTACAAGCGCATATCAACCATCGCCATATGAGAGCCGGAAAGCCCGTTACCCGCGCTTCTCTTGAGAATGTCCATCCTCCCATTGCCCCACCACCCGCTGAGATCCCCGATCGTTTCATAATGCCACCAGACAAGCATCATATGAGCCATATTCCTCCAAAGCAGCACATCATGATGCCGCCACCTCCTTTGCAGCACGTGCCACATGAGCACTACACTCAGCCGCATGAGGATATTCGTGCTCCTCCCGCAGAGTTGTCCATGGCTCCACCTCCACCTCGTTCGGTCAGTCAGGAAACCTTTCGTATTTCAACAAGGAAACACAGCAACTTAATAACTGTCCCCATTCAGGATGACTCAAGTTCAGGTGCTAGAGAACCACCACCTCCTGCCCCGGCACCTGCTCACCATCACCCTGAGTATCAGGGCCAAGCAGTGGTGTCGCACCCTCATCATATCATGCCTCCACAGCAACATTACGCGCCGCCCCCGCCGCCTCCACCACCCATAAGCCATGCAATGCCACACCCTCCCCAGGCTGCAGGCACTCCTCACTTGGTATACAGCCAAGCTCCACCCCCACCAATGACCTCTGCCCCACCACCCATCACCCCTCCCCCCGGACACATCATAGCCCAGATGCCACCATATCTAAATCATCCTCCTCCAGGACCCCCCCCACCTCAGCATGGTGGTCCTCCTGTTACTGCACCCCCTCCTCACCATTACAATCCTAACTCTCTACCCCAGTTTACGGAAGATCAAGGAACTCTGAGCCCTCCATTTACACAGCCAGGAGGAATGAGCCCTGGTATATGGCCTGCACCAAGAGGGCCGCCACCTCCTCCACGAATGCAGGGTCCGCCTTCTCAGACCCCACTACCTGGACCACATCATCCAGATCAAACAAGATACAGACCGTATTACCAGTGATGTTAGTGTTTGAACTGAAGATGTGACAAGGAAAAAAGATGAAATTATTACTCTTTTAGTTAAGCTTTGACTGGGGAAGGAAGAATACCTCTTTTGAGGTGGCTATAAAACACAAAGTCTTGTCTCAAAATGGTTTTAAATCTTGACTTTAGGGGGTTGCTTTCACGTATCATACTGTAGTGCAGATAAGTGGCTCGGTTGAACACAGCTATATCCTAACAGCTGTTGCTTTGGTGTGGTAAACCGACCCAGAAGTGACTATTTGTAAAAAATTGGAAAAATTTTCACTGTTCCACTTTGAGAAATACTGCTTTTATTAAATCCAATGTTTAGTTTTTCTTGTGATGCATTTTGTTAACCTGTGTAAAAGGATTAAATTTCAAAATGGTTGTAAAAATGCTATTTTTATGTGAATTTAAGTGCAGCCACATTTTTTTTTTAATCCACATGTTTTACCACTAATTTTCCAAAGTTAAAATAAAATCCTAAAAGTAAAAAGCTACTAAAATTGTTACCAGGCAGACTGTTATATGAGAGAATTGTCTCACATTTTAGGCACTGAAATTTCAAGGTGTAGTGGTTGTATAGTGCACTCACTTGGATGCCTTTTCATGTTTGGATAGCCTTGGAAGCACCAAGATTCACCAGACTTCCTACAACTAGTTGTCTGACACAACCGAGCCATTCTAATAATTGGAAAATGACCGGCTTTGCAGGCTCTAAGCTGCGGATGAGATGCCATTCTCATCGTTGCTTTTACCTGGGTTAAAATCACATGATTTGTCACACTTAAAAATCTTAAGTTATAATATTTTATAGGATTTTTTAAATGGTGTTATTTGGATAAAATGTGTTCTGTGTTCACTGTCTTGACCTGCGTGTTTAGGAGTGATGGGGCTTTATTTAAATCCGAATTTCTTCACAGTTATTTGATTCTGGGCTTTAGTCCGTTCTTGTTTATGGGGTTATAAGCTGCAACCTGAATGCTGTGGAGGAATTTGACTAATGTTTTAGCAAATGGTGTTTCTTGTAATCACAAACTAGCATTTACTCAGGTTTCATTGCTGTGGTGAGTTTCTCGTCTAGGTTGAAATCTTAAAACTGTTATTTTTTTTTTTCTTGGTAAAACAGTCTAAAGTTGGAACATTTTAACATGGAATCAGTAGTGAAGACAACCAGATAATTTTGAATTGGACAGAAAAAAAATTAATCAGATTGAATTTCAGTGCCGTGTAAGGTGCCTTTAGAGTCAGTGTTTGCATTATAGGGGCTTAGTGAACTGAAGACAACCACTCACTTACACAGATTTCCTGTGTAAGTCAGCGTTCTTAGGGTATTGTTCATATCCTTTGAATCGACTAAACTCGTGTGAAGTTTTCTTCCTTTAAAATGGTGCAGAATATAAACATGGCAAGTAGTATGCAGATGTCATTTATTAGGTAGCTTGTAGTATATAAATTTAGAGCATTGGCTTTTGACAAAGGGTATACTGATAGCTGATTCACCATTTTATTCTGTCAGGTACAGAAAAACATTCTCATGTTGGATGACCAGATATAAAATCATTTCTGAACTTAGCACAGAAGTAAGAACTAATATAAACGGCCGTTTTCAGCCTTGGCTGGCCAAAAATAACTAATGAAGTTTTTTTCCTTGAGCAAGTGATTTTTTTTTTTTTTTCACATGTAACAGTTTGAGTCTGGTTTGCTCAAGCACTATTTCTAGTGAGAAGTTCTTGTTATTAGAAGCATGGAAGTGAAATAGTGTGACATGGTGGTGAGTGTTTCTGTCATATTACTGTAGGTACTTGGACTGGTGCAAACTTGATTCTTTTCATGCCCCGTTCAGGAGCTGTTAAAATGTTAGTGTTGAAATCTAAGTAACCCTTTGTTTCATATAACTAGAAAATAGCCAGAGTCAGGTCAGAGCTTCTTAGCTGTTTGTGAGAAGCTCTGTATTGAGATTTACTGGGGTGTGTTGTGGTAAGGAACCACTTAACCTCTGTTCTGGACCAAAAATCAGTATCATGAAAAAAATCCCACATTATGAGAATTCTTATAGGCTTTAAAAAAAATTTTCAGTTAGATTAATAAATTAAGCTGGGAGGCAGGTCAGATGAATGTCTTGTAATAGAATTTTAAATGTTAGACTTGAATTCATCAGTTTATTGTTTGAATGAGGGTGGGTGGGTAGACAGATAACAAGATTACTGTTTAGTTTTCTGTTCTTAAGGAAAAAGATGTGAATCCCAGCACATTTCAGGGAATCCTTTGAAGTTATCTATGACGGACGTAAGTCTAAATGTATGTATGTTTCATTAATTGCTCTTAAGACTACTGAGGTGGCAGTTTAATTCTTAAAAACAATAAAATGGAAGCATAAATACTAATTTGCCTAGATGAGTTTTTAACCTAATGATGACACATTTCAGAGACTGCAGAACTTTCCATGGCTCTACAGTAAAATTAGATTGACTTTTTAAACGCTTATGACCAAAAAGTGGCTGGTGCATTTCTTTGGCATATTTGTTCAGAGTATGTGACTACTTTATCGGTGTTTGGAGAAAGATCTTTTTCTAAGATGGTAAAGAGCTGTACTCATTTTGCTTTGTAAAAGCCACCTGGTCAAAATTGTGTAAATACTAGTCAGATATAATGGAAACAAATAGAAAAGAGTGGAGTATTTCTAGTTCTTAAGTAGTGGCTGTTTACTGTGTGAAGCAGACAGAACTACTTAAAGAGTATCATACAAGTTTTAGAGAAGGACCTACATTTCTGATTCAGCTAATTTGCACCAGAAGTACACGGAAATTACTACTACCTAAAAAACGCTTCTCAGGTTGGCCATCAGATTATAAGATTAATACTAAAGGAAGTTTAACACGGTCATACCTGAGTACTCTACCAATTTAATTTTATTCACTGGTTTATTGCTTTTTACATTGGGCTTAGGAAGCAAGCAGAATTGCTCATTAATAGTAGTTGTACAATCTAATAAAGCAAGGCTGGCTGTGCCAGCATTAGAGAGGATTGCTGGTGCGGGCACAGTGGCTTGTGCCTGTGATCCCAGCAGAGGTGGGCAGATCTCTTGTAGATCTTTTGTAGATCTCTGATCTACAAAAAGTGAGACAGCCAAGGCTATACTGAGAAACTGTCTCTGAAAACCAAAAACAAAAGTAGTGCTGTATAAGCCAAGTAACCATTCTAAAGCACTCCTAATAAAAACTGACTTGGTTTTTAAAGTCCCTTCAGTTTTTCCTCATTGAAGAGAAAAGAGAGCACTATACGAAGAATGTTGAAAGTACATACTAGTTTCCAGGTTTCACTGTCTCACCCCCTTAGTTTTCAGACCTCAGAATGACAGGTTTGCAGCAAACATCACAGTTGTGTTCTCACACATAGGGCCTTCCTTTGGAAGAAGTAATCTTCCTAAAATGTGTCCTAAATGTACCGTGTTTCTATTCTAAGTGCTTGTAAGCCCTGCCCTTCACATTGTATTTAAGGTCACAATTCTTACAGTGCCTTAAAAGTTGTCTTTAATTTGCCTTCCTTCAGATTGAAAAGCTGTGTCCCCTTTTACTTTGCTACTTTTAAAACCTTTAAATCATGTAGAAAAAAGTAATAGATAAAAGTTAAGTTCCCCACCCAAACCCCTGGCTTCCATGCTGGTCAGCTTCCCCTGATGAGTAGTTAACCTTTGACCTACATCTAGTTTTAGTTACAAGTCTGACAGCCGAATAGGTTCCATGAACTAGTAAACGTCCTAATCCCTGCTAAATGTATTTCATAAACTTTATTTAGTAATTCTATACTGAGCTACTGTGGGATGGAAAGGTTTGTTAGACAGTATTAAGCACGTGGGGTGCAGTCTTCAATATCTGTAAGTAGTAAATTATATGCCATGTTAGGTGTGTGTCAGTCCTGTGGGAAAACCAGTTAGCATAATTGGGTAGTTTGTAAGAAACTATAGAAATGATTCCTGAACGTATAGTCTTAGTTGGGTAGTTTGTAACTTAGTGGGAATGGCATTGAAAAGGCGGCTTTTGAGCTAGGATTCTAAGTAGGTGAAAGTTTGTTGAATGGGGGCAGAGTTTTACAAACTGCACAGGTAAGGAAAGGATCCAGTGTGGGATTTTGCCTGGCTTATTTTTAGTAATAGAAGAGAATAAATAAAGGTGAGGTCAAGGGCAGGATTGGTGTGGGGAGAATACTTGCCTAGCAGTCAAACTCACAGGTTCTGCTTTGGAGACTTGGCGAAGCGCCTGGTGTTAGATGTGGGTAGGTGAGGACTTTACAAGGCAGACACGACCTCCACTCTTTAGCAGCTTACACTCTTAAATCTTGATTGCAGAAGCATTTGTTTTCACCGTATAGTGGTCAGAAAAAGAATTTCATCCTTAAGAAATGGATTAGCGGGGCTGGAGTAAAGATCACTAGCTGCTCTTCCAGATGGCTCAGGTTCGATTCCAAAACCCCAGTCCCAGAGGATCTGATGCCCTCTTCTGGTCTCTGTGCACCAGGTACACAGATGTACATGCAGCCAGAACACCCATACACATAAAATATTTTTTTAAAATGGATTACCAGATTATAAACAAAAGTAAATAATAAAATTACAAAAATAATACAATTAATAGCTTTGCAGGTTGTGGTTAATTGTACAATTAAATTAGCAACTGGAACAAACATCATGTACCTATATTATTTCTGAGTTAATTCCTACCTGTAATTTTTAGACATTTTCGTCTCTTCTTGGAGGTAACGTATTCTAAAACCAGAAAGTGCAGGCTGTACAGCTGGACTGTCTGACAGTTTCTGCAGCTCTATCGTTTGCCCCCTTCCAACCTTGTTTTAGTTTGCTTTCCTAAATGTGAAGCTGAGCTGGGGGTAGGGGAGGGTGGTGCCCTCCTGCAGGCCAGGGCTTAGAGCATGGGGCAAGAGAAGTCAGGGTTGCAGGGCACCCTCAGCCGCGCAGTTCCAGGTCAGCGTAGGACGCAGGAGTCCTCGTCTCCAAAGCCTCGTCTCCAAAGTAAATAGAACTGGGGTGTCGCTCAGCAGCAGAGGGTGTGACTCTGAACTCAGCCCCTGGCCTCAAGAGTCCTCACTCTGCAAAGGCTATTTGAGAATGAAAGGATTGCATGTTGTATGGATTCTAGTCAAGGTTTCCTGACAGATCTTTGTTTTGTTTTCCTTTGGATCTTGAAGAATAGAGTCCTCGTTCACATAGAAAAGATGCAAAATCGGATGTGCAGGGCAGTTTCAACATGATGAAATTCTCTGCTCATGGATGGTAGAGCCAGGCTGCAGCCCCAAACCTTCGTAAGTGCTGCGCGACTCTTGTCAGCAACAATGCTTTATCAAAGCTAAATTATAAGGTAATTTTGGCAGGTATTATTTCAGCTAATCTCTTACTTTGAGTGATGTATCGGGCCCCGGCTCTTCAGTGTTTCAGTGTTGCCCTGCTTTCCTGAAGTTTGGTTTTTATCTCTACCAACGCCATTCTTAACCTCTCCCTGATCAGGGGTCGGGTACCAGTTTCAGTTTGGACTCTGACGAGCAGACGAGTCAAGGCACGGGTCCATAAATGTCTATACCTCAAAGCATCGCTGCCTTAGAGGAGGAAAGGAACCACTGAGAATGAGTTCTGCGAGCCTGTTGAGATGTTAGCTGTGTTAATAAAGGCACCAGGTCCGGGCGAGCTGTGCAGGCGCCCTGTGATTTCCGTAGCAAGACTGTAGGGGGCGCAATTGCCTGGGATGAAACTGCCATTCGCTACGGTTTTGAAGCTTTTGCCCAACTCCACTTTAATGAGCATCCGGGAAAACAAAAGATCTTATCCGGAGATTTACAGGGGCGTGTACGCGCATCCTAAAATAATGCACAAGCCCTGTAGGGTGAGCATGACTCTAAAAGCTTTAAACAATGTATTCTTTCTGTAGTTTGATTTAAGTCTAATGGACAAGCCCTTCTGGGCTGTCTCAGGAGAGGATGAAACTGTCCTTTGACTGGAGGCCACTGTAACACAGTGGCGGCAGCTTCGCCATTCACAGAGAGGTTTGGTGTGTCATCGAGCGCACTGAGTTATGCATTGGTGCTGCGGGTGAATTTCCAAGAGTCTGGTGAGTAAGCATACAATTGCCAGAAGAACAAGGCCAGTGAGGGACTCCGGAGCGCTGAACCTCACTCTCCAGCAAAAAGCTCGATGACCCTTCCAGCCCTGCGAATTACACACAAAACACGCCTTTTCCTACCAGCTCCTCTCCCGGTGAGACCAGGAAGCAATGGCTAGCTACTCACCTCCCTTTATTCTTCTTGCTTTGTCATTTTATAGCCCCTATTAGCTTATATGGTTTTCATACCAGGAAGGGAAGTAAGAAATTGCCTTTAAAGCCACTTATGTAACGCTTTCATGTATGGGGTTAGGGGCAGTGTTTCTGAATCTAGATGGGTTAAGGAGCCTTAAAAACTGGAGTGATAATCATAAAAGTCTGGCCAAAGAAGTCCTATTGCAAAAGTTCTGTTAAAAGTGTCTCATAGCAGTGTCGTCACAGCACGCAAGAACACATCCACAGCAAATGCTTGTCAGTAAACTAACAAATTTAATAAAACAGCACACACCCATACAACTTAATTGTTTAAAACAGAGATATATTAGCATGACCTGTATAAATTAGAGTCAGAGCAGTGGTGTGAATCCATGATGAAACATTGAGCATGAAGGTAGAGACTTGGCTAGGAATCCGTCAATGCTACAAAAATACATATAAACAAAATACTTTTCTGCCCTTGATAAGTCTACAAGGTAGAAAATTAGAAATATGTACATAATTTCATAACTAGATATGTGAAAAATATACCATGCTAGAACAATCTCGTTCCAAAGTTTGAAACATAATTCTTTCAAAAATATCATCCATACAACGTATGAACTTAGTGATAACTTTCTAGGTATAAAGTTGGTTATGATACGACAGATGAGAATCCTTCCAAACTGTATCTTGATTAGAATTTTGTTTCAACTGGCACCTGGAAGAAAGCAAAGCATTTGAAAATCTTAAATAATTTAACTTTTTTTTTTCAGAAATTCTTTCTTATGATGTGCAACTTAACACTTAGCGGTAAATTTTCTCTTTTAAAAGATTTAGTTATGCAGGTGTTTTGCCTGCATGCATGTGTATATATGTATATATATGTATGTATATATATATATATATATATATATATAGTGTGCATGCCTGGCACCTCTGGTGGCCAGAGGAGGACACTGGATTCCCTAGGACTTGAGCTGCAGATGTCTATGAGCTGCCATGTGCTGGAGTTGAACCCTGGTCCCCTAGGAGAGCAACCAATGCTCTTACTGAGCCATCTCTTCCGCTTGAAAGAATCTGCT